TATATATAATATATATAATATACATATAATATATATAATGCATTTATATGAATATATATATAGCATATGTATGTATATAAATAGGCCTATATATATCTATGAATAATAATAATAATAATAATAATAATAATAATAATAATAATAATAATAATAATAATAATTTAAACTTCAAATGTACATGTTTCAGAAAAAAATCCACGTTAACGGGAATAATAATAGGCGAAATTTACCGAATTAAGTTAATTCTGGCGGCCATTTTGGATTTTGGTGGCCATCTTAGATTTAAGACCAAACTGTGGGTGGCCCTCGATTGATCGTGAAATGTTTATATTCCAGATGACAAATCCCCTGAAAAAACATCGACATTTGAACCAATAAATAAGCTGCAAATTTGGAATTTATTGTATTTTTTGCGGCCATTTTGAATTTTATTGGCCATTTTGGATTGAGGCCTATTTTTGGGTGGCCTTCGATTGATCTTCAATGGGTTATGTACCAGGTGACAAATCAACTGAAGAAAACATAGACATAACCGAATAATATGCTACATTTCTCTAATAATTATGATTTTCAGTGGCCATTTTGGATTTTGGCGACCATCTGGGATTTTAACTCTCTGTGGCCCTTGATTGATCTTGGAAGGCTTAGGTCTGAGGTGACAATTCCACTTATAAATATGCTGTATATCTCTAATAACTTTAATTTTGGCGGCCATTTTGGATTTTGGCAGCCATTTTGGATTTGAGGTAAAAATCTGAGTGGCCCCAAGTTTATTTCAAATAGTATGGGGTCAGGATTATAAAACCGCCGAGAAAACCATGACCGGAAAAAATGGCAGTTTATCCTTGGATGGGCCCTGTCTAAATGCACAACTTGGTGCTTTATAGCTGCTCTACTATAGCAGTTAATTAGGGTCTTTCAATATTCTAAGGATTTAAGTACTTAGGAAAATTTTTCATACACGTGGTTGACATGTTATGACATTTGAGGTAAAAATGGAAATTTTTACATTAGTAGGTGAAACGTTACTACATTTGTGGTTAAACAGATTTTTACATTTGTGGGAGATTTTTTTTACATTTGTGGTTATTTTTACATTTGTGGTTGACATGTTATGACATTTGCAGTTATTTTGACATTTGTGGTTATTTTTACATTTGTGGTAGATTTTTACATTTGTGGGCTCTACAGACCCCGACCCCTTTCATTGATTCATGGAAAAAAAGAATACTTATGCAAATACTCAATTATTTTTTTTATGTATGTATACATACATAACAGTCTTATTTACTGTAATAAAAATAAGAAAACATTTCCTGACGGTTTTTAAGAGAGGAAAACATTTTGAAGAACTTAAAAGTAATTAAAAGACATTTCAGAAGCCGGGAAAGCTCATTTCCCGCCATCTAATAATCAAAATTTTCCCGAACCTCCTCCCTCGTTCTCTTTGAGTTTCATCGATTCATGGTGAAAAGAAGACGCATATGACTGCTCTTTTTTTTTTTTATGCGTATACACACATTGGCTTATTTACTGTAATAAGAATTAGAAAAAATTACCTGACCCTTTGCAAGAGAGGAGATAAAACCTTGAATTTCATTAAAAGTCACTTCAGAAGTCGGGAAAGCTCATTTCCCGCTATCTACGATTCAAAATTTTCCCGGTGGAGGACCTATACACATCTAGATGTGTATAAGAGACAACCTTTTTTACTACCTTTTAAATTTGAAACCAGATCCGCCACTGTCTGTAATTGAGTTTTTTGTTCCTATGTTACCCAAATAATCTCTAAAACTCACAATCAAGATTTTGATGATAAGTATTTCATCCCCAACAAACGTTTGGGATCGTGTTTGTATTGGTTTTCAACTGATGAAACATAATCTGATTTGGATTTTCGAATTTTACTCGTGCATTTTGTTTCTAAGTGAACGATATTTATTAAAAGGTGTTTTGCTGCCATGTTTATCGGATAAGTGTTGTACATAATCACGGTCATACGTAAGTCTAATGATGTCAAGTGTGATTCATTTAATTTTATTTAGCTTAGGTATATAAAACTGATATACAAGATAATTGTTGACATCGTTTAATGGTTAATCTGATAAATAAAATACCCCATCTTAGTAACTATCGAATGTTCTTTCTTTTTTTTTTTATCATTTTATCATTATTTTCAGTCCAGCAAATAGCTGGCTCTTCAAAGATGCCTTCTAAGAACATCTAAAAATTAAAAGTGAAACAAAATGTATTGTTAAAATAGTATTAAAAAAATCGGAGGGACCCTGCTCTTAACCTCATCGGTGGTATACATCTTACTTGACATGGTCAGTCAATTTGAATGCGTCAAGGGCCCCGACTGTACTCTTGAACTAGGGCCCCTCACAACCTACGCCACAGTATCAAGTCTCACTATCCAAGCATGTAAGTATTTGCCTGTTTAAATTCTCTGCAGATATTTCAGAACTATTAATGTGGTGTACCGCAACATTAAATATACTATATTGTCGGTACGTACTATGCGTAAGAATATGATTTTTTGAGATAAACCCACTGGTTAATTGTGTTAAAGTTTCTGTGACATGGCTCTGATATTCATCAAAAAAATTAACTTTGATTTACAATAAAGAAGGAAAACTGTACGAATTGTACCACAGTATGTATTTTATGACAATAAAGATAATCTGTGTCTGTATATTGCTCTCAAGATAACATTGAAAACAAATATACTCTATGCTTGTTTACTTTTGTATTAGATATAATCATATCAATCTATAGAATTTGAAGAAAAAAAATATTCCAAAAAACCTAAAGCTGCATATACCTGAGCGATAGGTGGGGCTGCAATTAAAGATGCGCGCACCAAACGTGTTTTGTTCGACAATGAGAGAGCAATGTGAACGATGAATTAATGTGTGATGATAAACCAAAAGATGAAGAATTTTAATAATTACCAATTAAAGCACATAAACACTACTGAGCTTAGACAAGAGTCCATACATAAATAACCTACACATCACAAAAAAAACTGACTTTGATCAAATAAAGCAGGGTTCCGGAAATTATGTATGCGTCCAGAAAGTATGGGACGCCCAGATAACAAGGGATGGGGTGCTACAAATTTAATAGGTGTACCCATGAAAATTCACTTCACAATATTTTCGAGAGTCTCCCATTGATTTAATAGCGCCGTTTTAAATCATCTTTTTTTGGCAAACTCTAATTTTTCTGCACTCTTATCTGTTTTTAGTTTCATTTTCATTTCCATTTTTCTACTGCTTACCTTTGCGTTTAAACAATTTGTTTTAGTCCTGTTCTTTTTGTTGTTCAGGAAAGAAGGAAAACCTGAACAAAAAACGATCGTTATTCCGGGTATATTGCATTTAGCTTAGGCAAAATAACGAATGCTAATCTGTAGTATACAATTGTTATTAGGAAGTAATATTAAGTGATTAAATATAAGTAAACAAGAAAGTTAAACGACGGCGATACGTAATAGAGTAATATTCTGCAAAGTATTTTTAAGTTAAATATTTAGTGTTTAGATGCTTAGTCAATTCAATGTAGGTCTTCTTTCTTAAGATCTTCTAAAGTAATGTTGCCATCTTTCTACTCGCCACATGCTCTAACATTACAGCCACAAAAATATCCTCGTGATTGTCAATCATACGTGTACTTGCCATTTCCATTTTAAAGTAACACCATTTACTCTTACCAAAGTTCTTGGTGACAACTATTAACATTTTACGACTATTATATAAAAATATTGTCAGCAATTGCTCCACCAACTATAAAATCCCGGAAGTCAAAGCACAGACGAAAGTTGAACTCGGTAAGGCTGACTTGAGTACCTAAACAATGTCTTTGCTGTTGTAGGGGACCAATGCGTCATATCGAACCTGTACGCCGTCAATTTGTGGTGGACACTCATTTTGTAGTCTCTCGTATTATTTTCGGAGCAGTCGACGCAGATTCCTGTATCATATACTATACTAATTTGAGTAAGGAAAAACAGTTTATGCCGATTTACTGTCCAGATGTGTGCACAGCTCTGGAAGAAATATATCGTAGCACCATTCATTTAAATGTCTTATCATTACTGGCATATATTGAGTTCCTATTTGTGTCCATTAAAATATCGTTTAAAAAATTATTTTACAATAACACGAGTCTACAAAATATTTGACGAGGATACTACACACTACAAAAGCAACACATGTGAGAATTCATTATTCATATTACGTTTGTACAGTACAGTGAAAGGAGCAGCAGATTATTCAATATGTGGTAGGTAAGTGGAACGTAGCAGTGTGGATTATACAAACGCGTATATGTTGTTTGTTCAAATATATTATAAAGTGACAATGTTAGTCACTAATATACTAGTAAGTCAGTACATGACGAATAAGAATGTCTACATCCATCACAACATTTTAGCATGTATTCCATTTTAACCATATTCTACATCAGTAAGCATCTCTTACACCTGCTTTAATATTATATTCAAAATTATTATTGGCTCATGTTCTTTATTTCAAAGTAATAATTTGATTTTCATTTGCAAAGGTCTTTCTAAAATTATAGTTAAAGACTGTCCAGTATTCAATTTTATGCTTTTAGAATATTATGTTATATATGGCAATACAACATATTAGAGTGCTTTACCATTTTTGAGGAGGGCGGTATACAACTCCCCAAGGAGAGTATTCAATATACTTGCTCTGCAGAAATATTAATATATTTCTTGTCTTTGCTTGAGATATTTTTCGGGAAGTTCATAAAAAGAAGTATTCTCTACCAAAGAAATCCAAGGAAAACGATTTTTTGAAATATATTGATTTCTATTACCTAAATTTTGTTCGTGTAAAAATGATGACAAGTACCCATTTGAAGCCCGCGCCCAATGGTCATGTGGCTTTGGAAGCGGGAGCCCAGAACTGGGTGAAACGATGTCAACACAAAAGGAGAGGCGTATGTTGAATCACAGGATATATACAAAGCGTTAGTAAAATTTGTGCAGAGCCAACACATTAATGGCATTCAACGCATTAAAAACTTGTGGAGAATATATATAGATTCGCAAAAAGATAGGGTGAATCTGTTAACACAAGCAGTAAACATCCGAGGTAGGAATGTCCAAGTACATGATAAAAATCCTTATCTACCATATGATGTAGACTCAACACGTGTACTGACTAAAGATCTACCGCTATCAGTTGCTGATGAAGAAATTAAGAAAACGCTCTTGCGTTTTAACTGTAAAATTACAGGAAGTATACAGCGTTTGAAACTAAGAGTAGATGGTCAACTAACAAGTTGTCTGAATGGAGACCGGGTACTCTATGCGGAAACCCTTAAGACACCTCTACCAAGGTTTATAAATATTAACAATTTCAAAACCAGGTTCTTTCATAATGGTCAGACGGATGATAGAGTGAAATGCTCAAAATGCTTAAAGAACGGCCACAACGCTAACAATTGTACAAACAAGCTTGTCTGTTATGCTTGTGGTCTAGAAGGGCACAAAAGAGAGCAATGTATGATTCAGGAGAAAAATTAATCCAAGAAATGTGGGAGCGAGTAATAGAAAAGAAGGGCATAGAAACAGACATGAAAGATGATTCGGGATCCAGTGAGAATAGCGAAGAAAGTAGTGATGATGATGATGATGAGATTGAAGAACAGGGCAGAAAAAAGGAGAGTCACAAG